CCCCCCAGAGCCCCGGGGCAGCGCCCGAGAGCCAGAGCAGCTCTGCAGAGCCCCAGCCCAGCTACGACTCCCTGCCGGAGCTGCCCGGACTCTTTGATTGTGAGATGATGGAGGCTGTGGATCCCCAGCACGGTGGGTATGTCCTGGTCAATTAGCAGCCAGGGCACGCTGGAAGGACAAAAGGAGAAGCATGTGAATTTTTGGTTGGTTTTTGGTTGGTTTTTTTTGTTTTGTTTTTTTTTCACCCTGTTCCTACCCCACCCACGTCGAAGTTTTTCGACTCTCAGATTGACAGGGGAACTGAAAATCCACCTGGCTGGAAGGAAAATAAAAAAGCAGGAGGTGTTTGGCCCCAGTGGCAGGGGCTGGAGAACAGGGAGTTCAACAGCAGCTTCATCCCACCAAGTCTGCGCGGAAGGAGGCAGAAAAGGAGAATTTCAGAGGAAGGAAAAAGCCCCTTCTGAAAACATCCGGGGAGTTTGGCAGCATCCATCCACCATCCACTCAGAGAGGAGAGTGAGTGCACGCTTCTCGTACTTCTTGGCAATAAAAGCAATAGTTTTTCACTGAAATTCAGGGTAGATTCGGGTCTGCGCTGATGGCAACTGAAATGCTCTGGAGAACAGGAGCACGAGGTGGAGTCCAGGGGAAGCTGCACTTGGGTTGAGCTCCTGCTCTGGAATTGCTCTGTGGCCAGCCCTGAGCATCTCAGGCAGCCTCCCCTTCCTCCTGCTGGCACCCAAAAGGATTTCCCAAACCTGCCAAGGAGCTCTGCACTGTCTGCTGAAGGAATCCGGACCTGACTTTGTCACAAGGAGCCTGGGACTGTGTGGAGAGACCTCTGGGTGGGCATTGGAATTGTGGAGGATCCAGCAGACACAGAAGGTAAGAGAGCCATGAAAGAGAGCAAGACCTGCAGGAAATGGCATTAAAAAAAAAAAAATAAAATCCACCTGAGTGGCTTTTAAAATCACCCCCTCATTCAGGAGGAATTCTGCTCGCTGGAAAGGATCCACCTGTCCCTGGGTTGCATTTTAAAAACAAATAAGCAAACAAAACTGTGTTTTGAATTTGCAGTATGTGTTGCTGGTGGTTTCTTGAGCTTTGTATATTTGGACAGTTATTTAGGGTTTTAGAACTTTAAGGATAAAAAAAAAAAAAACAAACAATGAGCTTATAAAAAGTAAAAAAAAACCACCCCTGTGAAGTGATAGTGCTGTGCCTTTTTCAGTTCTTTATCAGCCTATATGCTTTTTTCTGAAGAAAGTAGACAATACCCCATTTATATCCCTGCTGTGGCCAAAGTCCCTTCAGAGCACACGTCCCACCGTGTGGGGCAGGTGTGACTTCCTCAGTGCTTGAGTGGCTCGTGTATGTAGGTCACTGAAAGTATCACAGCAATATTTCAGCATCAGCCTCTTGATGTGTCAGCCATTTCAAGGGATGCTCCAGCTCCACCTGCAGCTGTGTCTCCACAACTTTCCACTCATGGAATCCAGGTCCCAGGAGGGGGAGGCTCAGGGAGCTGCAGGAAGCTGAGATTCCACTTTGGGCCTTGGCTCTGGCCCTGAGGAGGTGGTGTGGGCCAGGCCAGCCCTTTCCTGAGCAAACACCAAGCACAACTGCAGCTTCATCAAAGCACAAAGAGAGACAGAGAGGAACTGTGCTGATCACACCAGAGTTTGCTGGAAGGTTTGGCCTTTGGTGCTGCAAATCCCCAGGGCAGAGGGAGGTGAAAATCAGCGTTTACAGCAATAAGATCCCATTAAAACACGGAATAGGAGGGGTTTGGCAGTGTGTGAAGGGAAGAGGGTTTAGGGTGACAGAAGGGGCCTGGTCCCTGTGTGGGCAGGTAGAGACAACTCTGGAACCTTCTCTGACATTGGCCCAGTCCAAGAGTGCTCAGCTTCCACCTGTGCCAGCACAGGGATCCTCAAGGCAGCACAAAGGAGAGCTGGAGGAGCAGGGATCACGAGATAAAGATGGCCAGAAAGCTGCTTTAAAGAGAGAAGGGTTTGTTTCCTTCCCTTCAGAAGGAAATCTGAGTGACACAGACCCAGTGGCACCTGCGGGGAAGGAGCCTGACAGAATGTGCAGGAGCACGGAGCAAACAGAGGCCTGGCCCTGCCCTGCCCCTTCCCCGTGTGCAGTCAGGGTGGGATCTGCCCTGGGCAGGGAAAGCTGCTCCCAGCGCTGCCCCACTGCCACAACAACATCCACTCCCTTCCCCATCCAGCTGCGGGAGCCTGCACCTTTCAGGACTCACAAGGTAAAAATAATTCCGTTCTGGAGCTCTGCAATTCATTTACCAGGATGTGCCAAGCAGTGGGAGCTCCTTGGGGCTCTGCAGGGCTGGGCAGGGGGAGCTGCAGTATTTTTTAATGTAGTTTTTAGACTGACTCCTTCCCCTCAGCCAAAAGCATATTTAACATTTCATGTAATTTCCTTTAAGCCAATTAGGACTAAAAGGCTTCTGAAGCCTTCTCATACAGAGAGGATCCATTGGGCACGGCTTCCCACTCCTTTGAAGTGGCTTTTTTGTTCCAATCTCTTCTGTTCTAACATTAGAGAACTGTGTACACTACTGTTAGAGTAATTATTAGCTTTATTATCTTGTACTACAGCCTCCTTTGAAGAGACTTTGGTGTGATGTATATGGGGTACAAATTTCATACGGAGAAAAGTGCAATATGTGTGTGTGTGGTATGTTCTTTAATGTATTTTTTTAAGGATTTAGAGGGTTTAGTCTCTGCTTTGGGATAAATGCACTAGTTTTGTGAGCTCCAGTTTGGCAAGTTCATCTGTAGTATTTACATGCAACTGATCTGCTGGACTCTGTAAAGCAGTTACAGTGTATTAATACAAAATAAAGAATATGTGCATTTCATTTTTTAAATTTCTAGTGAGCTAAAGCAGCGCCTGCCACTCTTGTCTTCGTTAGGGTCAAGTTATTTTCTCTCTGAGGCACCAAAACAATGGATGTCTGCTGCAAACACTGGATTTTCCAGATGAGCTTTGCTCCCCACGGTTCTGACACACTCGGGGTTGTTGGCACCACTGACTTTCTGCCAAATATGAAAGACTGCGAAACTTGGTGCCACAGGGTTGGCACGTTCATTAACAGAAGGCTCATTGAAAATTAATTAAAATGAGATCAAAAACCAGTGGAAAGATCCTCAGCAGCTCTGGTTTTGTCATCACTGGTGACATCCCTGGGACTGAGCTCAGTGCACACAGCTCTGCTGCTGAACTGGTTGGAAAAGTCCAAGGAAAGCCTTAAAACTGTGTCTGAATTCAGTGCTCACAGTTCTGCTGCTGAGCAGGCATGGGAAATCCAAAAAGAGCCTTAAAATTGTGCCTGAATTCAGGTATAAATTTTAAGGCTGCATCTGCTGCTCAATGTACACAGCTCTGCTGTTTGGCTGGTCTGGAAAATCCAAGGAAAGCCTTAAAATCCTGTCTGAATTCAATGTACACAGCTCTGCTGCGGAGCAGGCTTGGGAAATCCAAAAAGAGCCTTAAAATTGTGCCTGAATTCAGTGTACATGGCCCTGCTGCTGAATGGGTTTGGAAAATCCAAGAGGAGCCTTAAAATTGTGCCTGAATTCAATGTACTCAGCTCTGCTGCTGAGCAGGCTTGGAAAAATCCTGAAATTGAGGAATATCTCGGACTGAGTGTAAGATTACAGCAGGAATTAATTCTCCTCTCCTCCCTTTCTCCCTCCACTGCTGGACAAAGTGCAGGAGTGGAAAAATGAGGCAGAAATTCTGCAACCCTGCCCCTGATGGGAACGTGGCCAAGCAGGTCACGGTGGGGAAAGAGCAGAGGGTTTTGCTGATTCAGGTGATTTTGTGATGGGAATGTTGCATTGGAGGGCAGAGAGCTCATCTGAAGTGTGATGAAAAGAAACTTTTAATTGGGTGACTCCCATAGGGAATTTGAGGCAAACCCTCAAAGGGATAAGAACTGGGAAATGAGTGGAGCAATAAGGGAAATGTTTCTGCCCCCAGTGCTTTGAGGATTCTGTTGCCTGCTCCTACAGAGCAGGGAGAATACATATATATATATGAGAATAACTATAATTATTATATATTATTATATAACTATCATTATATATATGAGAATATATATAATGAGAATATACAGAGAATAACTCAGTGCCACTGCCTGGGGTTTGCAAGGCTAAAGGAATGGGCAATGTGTGGGCTAAACCTAAATTAACCTGATTTTGGACAGGTTATCCTGATTCTCAGTGGTTAAAGATCAGCAGAACAAAAAGTGAATTGTGGAAAAGCCCGGACATGCAGGCAAACCAAGAAATTTGAGGTTAATTTGAGTGTGAAACCACAAGATTGAGTGGAAACTGAAACCAAGGAAGGAGCATCCTCTAATTTAATAGAGATGGCCCCTGATGAAAAATCATACCTGCAGCTCCAGCAGCAGAGAATTCCATCCAGTGCTGATAACTGAAAAACCACAGAAAATCTGTGCCTGCTGTCAGAAATCTTACAAAGGACAAGAGTTAACCCTGGGGGTGAAATAAATAAAGGGTGGGGGGGAAACACTGAGAAAGTGGAGCCTGAGAGCCCCAAAGGAGCATCCAAACCCACCCTGAGCCCGGGGTGACCGTGGGGACACCAGCAGGGACGCCCCAAGCACAGGAAACCCCAAAAGGAGCACACACCCCATGGCAGCACGCTCAGCAATGTGGGCACAAGGCTCCAGCAGGTTTTATCCTCCTTTTATCTCATTTTTAAAGCTCGCTCTGTCCGTTTTCCCAGGGTTTCCAATCCAGCATCCCTCCCAGGAAAGCTCCATTTCCCCAGGGCTGTCACACTTTCAGTGTGGGGCTTTCAGGAGAGATCCCTCTGCTCAAAAAGCTCCCTAAAGGTGGTGATTCCCTGCCAGAAAAATGCCATAATGTGGTTTTATGGAACAGCCCCTGCTGGGGTGGTTTATCAGCAAATAAAGGCCACAGGGATTTGATAAGGATCCGTGTGGGGCTGCCTTGTCACACACATTGCACAGAGCAAAACCTCTCAGAAGGGGGAAAAACATCATTTTCCTGTTCCTTCCCCTATTCCAGAGCAGGCTGTTCTGTAAATTAACAATTCACATCTAGGTCACTTGGAGAAGCTCTTGGTTTGGGGAATCAGGAGCTTCTTCACCAAAAATCTCCTTTTTCATGGCAAAGGAGCCTGCAGGAACTGGGTGCTGTCCTTCAGCAAAGCAGAACACCAAGAAAAGGCAGGTGAGGAACTCAAACATCTATAAAGGTGCAGTTCTCCTCTCAGAAAACTCCTGGAGCTGGAAAAGGAGCCCAGCATCCCCCAGGCACCAATTCCCAGCTTCCCCATCAAACTGGGCTCCTGGTTTGGGGAATCAGGAGCTTCAACTTCACCAAAAATCTCCCTTTTCATGGCAAAGGAGCCTGCAGGAGCTGAGTCCTGGCCTTCAGCAAAGCAGAACACCCAGGCTGGTGTCCAACAGCACCCAGAAAACAGAGGTGAGGAATTCT